GGGCTCCCTAGGTTGAAACGTTTAGTCACTTGAACACATCACCATGCGATAACAAAACTATGTATGAAACCATTTTCTAGAAATTTTCACGATTAATAGTAATGAGGTGCAGAGACAATAAGTCATTGTCTTTAGGACACCAGTGAAATTGTTATTGATAAAAAAACTTGCATAAATGTGTCGTAAAAATGTGGTTTACAGAAGTCCTTTTTGAATTAAGTAATTAAATAACAAACATAGAATCCTGTGACAAGATAATACATTGTCTTATTCCCTGCATTATTATATTATAAGTTGATGTTCTCTATAAAACACAGATTATTGAAAATACTCCATCAGGAACAGACAGATATCTTATCCTACTTCACTTGCTTATTCCCTACCTTGGAGACGAAATAATCAGTACTGTAATCCATACCACATGTCTGATCAATCTGTTAATCTGGTTACCATGGTTATATCAAGACCTTCATATCTTTTATTAAATTTTTATTTATTCATACTTTACCTGTCTCAATCAAATCATGTAGAAATTAAAACCTTTCTGAACCAAAGACCTTATCTAATTCACTCTGCATAATAATTATCTACTGGATGTTCAGTTCAGACTGGTTTAGACTGGTCTATATAATTATTTCCACTATACATTTGAGATATTTTTATGTAGTTTTCTATAATTTCTTTATGGATATAATTCCCCACTGCTTACAGATCTTGTTCAAAATTTTAGAAAAAAAATGTTATTTTATGTTTATTTTATAAAAGTGGACTTGAACATGTTCAAAAAATTCCCAGATTACATGGTGAGAGACGTACCTTGTTGCTAATAGTGGATGACTTTGGAATGGTGCAGCCCATTCTTCTCTGGACCATGGGACACTGTCATACATCAAAATATCTTTATCTGTCAAAGCTAAAAACACTGGTTTCCATGATGGTGGACCGCCATCATTGTTGCTTTGCTGTGAGGAAAGGAAAGTAAAGCATAAATAGAAATCAGGCAATAGTTATTACGATTAGTTAAATACGATGAGCAACACTTGGGATTGCAACATTCAAACCAATCAGACAACATTCATACTGACTGTCTGAAGAGAAAACCACCTGGGGTTACAAATTACAACCAATCAGAATTTATATACATTATTTACATACATAGTCAAAAAAGTATTGATGATCTCCGTGTTGCGTATACTGTAGTGCCAGCGGTATGTTTGTGTCTTCCAACATTCCGACACTCTTAGACAAAACATAATTTTTTCACTCTATACACGTCTAACTACATTTTGTAAAAGTGATAATAGGGGTGCTTTTACATCAGACAGTCATTTATGTTTGAAGTTTTATGCTGTGTATCGTAAACTTATATATACACCACAGCTATGGAAGAACACTGAATTTATAAGTCAAGTTTTTTTTTAATATGGGATATACAAACTTTTCCACTTTATATCCTGCAATAAAGATTTAATAATAATAAATATTATAATACAACATTCATACTGACTGGCTAAATGAAGAAAAAAAGACAACCATCTGGGGTCAAAAAATAATAAGATGTTTGAAATTTATACTCGTACATTAGTATGTCAGATGAAGAAAATAAAACTACAGCAAACATAAGTGAGTATTTTAACAAGCAGGGAATGAACAGAAAATGTTCCCAGAATTCAGTGTCCATGTTGCTTTTGAAAATTACATGCATCAAGTTCAGTGCAATTCCTATCACATACTGTTAATGAACTGTTTATAAAATGCGTTAATTCTTAGTCACATCAGTTTGTATTTTGGGGGAACAAATTAAATCCACTATCACAACTTTCTGAAAAAGTTACACAGTGGATACATATCTTATATTTTTTTTTTTTTTTTTACAAATTATGGAATATATGTATATTGAAAGGCTTACATATTTATATTTTGTATATGCACAGATTTCAG